TGGGCTTTGATGCTTCTCAGCTAGATGGCTGCTTGTATGTCTTCAAGCCTTTAAGACCCCGGACACTATATCTTATGGTAGCTGGGCACCATCAGCTTTCTTCACCACCTTTGCTATGTTCACATTTTTCTTCAGCAATCGATTTGGGAAGGTGTGCATCCTGGAATGCCAATTTAAAAGAATGGTGTGTTCTTGCAATGAGTGAGTGCTTGAGTGGAGGCCCAGTGTCCATCTGCTGCCTTAATACCCTTGTGAACTTTGGGAACTATTACATCCCTATTTTACAGTTGAGAGAAATGGGTTTCAGAAATAGTAAATAAGTAACTTGCTTAAGTCACACATCCCTACCTCTTTGGGTCTTGGAGGTTAGCAAATAATACTTAGGACAGCACCTGCTATGTAATAAGTGCTCAGTAAATGCTAGCTACTGTTATTACCTAGGCACAGAAGACAGACCACGTATCCCCTCCATATACATAGATGTATGTGGTTCCAGAATGGACAAGGGTTCCAAATAGAAGAAACCGAATGGAAGCAGTTGGTGTCTTGGTTTGGCTGCTACATAGTTGTTCTGGTGGTTGAATGACAGGAGAAGAAGCTGAGAGACTTGGGAGTCTTGTGGGAAGGGCAAGTTCTTGAGCTCTTTGAAAGGATGGGAAACCCCTCTTAGTGGGCAGAGAGTTGGAAACATTTCAGAAGAAGGTACTACCATTTAAAAAGACGTTTTGTGATGGTTATCCACTGCTGTAGCGTGAACTATGTCAACATTTAGTGACTTAAAACAGCATCCATTTTATTTGCTTGTACTTCTGTGAGTCAGATATTTGGGCTGCATGTCTCCAGGTCTCATTGGGCCTCTCCTGTGATTGCTCCACGTGAGGTGTATTCGTCCCTGATGGCTTCTCTCACATGTCTGCCTATGGTAATGATTGTTGGCTGAGCTTCTTTACAGGCCTGAGAAGAGTTGTGCTGCATAGGCTCCCAAGGCCTGGACACAGGAGTCTCAGAGTGTCACTTCCACCACATTCCTTTGGCCAAAATGAAGTGTAAGGCCAGACTAGAGTCAAGAGAAGAAATAGACTCCACCTGTTAATGGACAAACCTGCAAAGAATTTGTGACGTTAAACACCCTAGAAATGTAAACATGCAGGATGAGTTTAGGGTGTTACTTGGCCTTTAACCTTTCTTCAGCCTAAGTAATATTTACTCCAGAATTAAGTAAAAGAAGTACTTTAATCATCTCTTTTATACTGCCATGAATACTTTCTCTGTTTTTCATAGAATAAAGAGAAAATATAGATTAAAATGAAAAACAGGAACATTTTACCAAGAAATAACATTGATTTTTAAAACTTTGAATCACGAAACAATTTTAAAAATGTATATTGTGGTTTAACTTACTGTTGAATATCCTCATGAACTTGAGCTTGGTAGGGTACTAGTGATTCAAGAAATCTTCAGGGACTTGGCATCAATGACAGACCAGGATTATATGTTATTACCATATCAGTGGTCATTATTCCACATCAATTGTCAGTATTTAATTAAATATCTTGGTGTCAGAAGTTTAAAGCATTTCTATTTATAACCATTTAAAATCTGGATCATAGTATTAATTTCCTACCTTGATAAAAAATTTAATCTATATTCTGGAAAAGTAGACATTTACACCACCTTTAGGATTCTGAAACTAGAATTTATGATGTCTTTACCTCTTTATCCAAAAAAAAAATGTTTGTTAGTAGTCAGCTCTTACAAATGTTACTTCCTCTGAGGTGTATTAGCTTATGATTCTCCACGGTCTGCTCTTTAATTCTGCTTTCCATTCTGAAAGAGTTCGTAGCCTTTGTTCATTAATCATGGGCCACAGTTGTGCGACATGCCTTGACATTAAGTTGAACATCTAAAATTAGTCCTGCCACAATCAGTTGTTGGGAAGAAGGTTTCATTAGTGTGTGGCATGTGTTAAGTAAATGTTACAAGGTGGAAAGGAACGCCTTAGAAATAAGTAAGTGATTTGTATCCTAGGTGTATGTGTGTGCCTGTGTTCGTATAAAATGGAAAGTCTTTTTAGTAAGCATATCAACAAATTAAACCCTTTTAAAAAATAAATTCATATGCTATACAAAGTATTTTTGCTTATGCACGATTGCTGTTTAATCAATCAGTTCAGAAGAATATTTACTGAACACTTGGTATGATACGACAGATCTTTATGCATGTTTACATGTGGTTTTCATTTTTAAAAAAGAATCATTTATTACAGGTATTTCAAGTGAATGACTTTTTCTCTTCAGCATTGAAAGAATCTGCTCACGAAAATGGCATCCTGGTTGTACGAATGTCTTTGTGAAGCCGAACTTGCACAGTATTATCCTCATTTTACTGCGCTAGGCCTTCAGAAAATAGACGAATTAGCCAAGGTTACAATGAAGGACTACTCTACATTGGGAGTCCATGACATGAATGATCGCAAACGTCTCTTTCAACTTATCAAAATTATCAAGATTATGCAGGAAGAAGATAAAGCAATCAGTAGCTCTGAGCATCCTCCACAGGCAAGCAGCCTGGACATCAAGCCTCGGAAATCCAGGTCTGGCCCTCGCAGGCAACTGCATTTTGATTCTCCTGTTGCCACCAAAGACAGAACTGCTAGCAACTGTGGGTTTGAAATATGCACTTTATCAGATCTCTCAACAAAGGAACAGAAGTTCAGCTGCCTAAAGTTGCTGGAGCACATGCTGCCAGTGGATTCCCGGTACCAGACAAAACCAAGAAGTCCCAGTGCCATGGCCACTGCTTCATGTATGCAAGTGGAAATGAAGACTCCACTCTTTGCATCAAGTCATTTTCCTCCAGGACGGGGGGACGGCGATGTTCCCATTATCCAGAGAGTCTCCCATGTTTCAGGGTATAACTATGGAATCCCTCATTCTTGTAGCAGGTAATAATTTGTTTCTATTTATTTACTTATTTTCCTTGACAGGCAGGGGCTAGCCTCTCTTTCATGAGCAGAGCAAAGCCACTACTACATATTTACTGTAAATGAGTGCAACAGAGAAATGACCATGAACTGCTTCTGCTATAGAACAGAAATACCTTGATAGGGGAAATTCACGAGGAATTAGGACCATCCAGAAGGAAGGAAGATATTATTCATGTATATTAAGTAGCTGCTAAGGCTAGGCAGACTGATTTATTCCTAGTATTGTAGTGTAGTATGACCCATCTGCTGTACCCAGGAAGGTAAGATAATTAACTTGCTTTCTGCATTGGGAAAAAATGTGTATAATCCACAGGATTTTTTTGGCTATCAGATTCACTTAAACCAACCAGGAGACTTAAAGCTTAGTGAAAACAAAGAGCATGCAGTTGAATTAAGTAGGTCTTCAGGCAGCTAGTTCTCCCGCACATAGTGAAACAAGATCTGATTTTGAGTGCTTTCTACAATTTCAGCTCTTGAAGAACAGATGTTTCGGGTGATTGCAAAAAGTAAAACACTTATGGTAGAGTTCAGAGCTTGAGAGTCTGAGTGATAAAACAAGTGCTTTTCACCTATAGAGTTGCAAGCCAGAATTTGATATAAGGTCCCTAAGAGCTGGAATAGTGAGTAATCCCTAATGCTTAATGGAATACTAGAAAATGCATTGTTTTCAAGATAATATGTAGCATGTTTTGTTACTCAAAGTAATAGATACACGTTATGGGAAAAACAAAAATACATTTTCCTTTTTCTTATTTTTAAGGCTATTATTCATACCTTAAGGCAAAGTAGTTACATTGTTGTACCCAGGAAGGTAAAAGAGTTAAACTGGCTTACAGTTAATATAGTCTTATATTGGCTAAGGTTTCAGAGGATCTCATAGCTAGGACTTTCACTCCAAAAAATAGAAGACCTAATTTTAAAAGAGAAAAATGCTCATCTTTAGTAATGGAAAATATATGAGTAAATTTTACAGTGTTGCTGAAAACTCGGCAGGGTGGGTAGGGAGCTGAGCACAGAGCATATCGCTCTTTTTTCCTTTTTAACTCTGAGAAGTCAAGGGTGCTCCATGAATATCAAAACCATGATTGTTCCTATCCTGCTGGTTAGGTCAGTGGGGAGAGAGTGGTCAAGGTTTTGACTATCAGTCTCTTCTTGAACAACACAAATACAGAATTGGAATTATTTATAGATATAGTAAGTATACCACTTTTCATTATTTAATATCAAGGAGGGAGTGACTATTTTAGCTAAATATTGCTATCTCACTTGCTTGAAATACTAAGTATCACCTCCACCAGGCACTACTATAGACACTAGGAGTATAAAGATAATATATCTAGAGGCTTTTAAATTCTTAGGAGCCAGGGTAAGGGGGAAGAGAGACATAAACCAATGATTACTATATGATGATATAAGTGCTCTTACAGAGGTTTATGCCTGACTGTCTCAGCACAGCTGTTCAACTGAAAGCTATCATTTCACTCTCCTCGTCCTGCATTATATTAGAGAAGTGGAGGAAAGAAAGGACATCTCCCCCCATCATCTTCAATGTTGTCTCCTCATCCAAGCCTCAAGTAGGAGTCAGGCTGTCACAACTCCAGAGAGCCACTTATCAACTTAAGGGTCACGATCAGGGAGTCATCCTATCCAAAGAGCACTTCTACCTCAAATCAGGTTTACACTTGGCAGTAAATATCCTAAAAATTCAAAATGGGTTGCTGGCTTTACAATGAATGAAAGGCTAAGGCATTTCGAGAACTGGTTGCCCTGACTTACTTACGGTAAGCTCTTAAACTTGAAAATTCCAAGCCTTTTTGTCCAGGTGCCTCACCCTAGGCAAGTTTTACAAAGGGCTAAACTGTTCATGAACCTTGATGGCACAGTGTTTAAGCTCTTCACTGTGAACCAAAAGATTGGTGCTTTGAATCCACCACTGCTGGGTGGGAGAAAGAGCTGGCTGCTAGTTTCTGTGAAAAGTACAGCCTTGGAAAGCCTGTGGAGCAGTTGTACTATCCTAGAGAGGAGTCTGTGTAGGAATCAATTTGTCGGCAACATTCTCTCTCTCCTCTTTGATTAGCTTTATGTGATTAGGTTTGTAGGATTTTGACACTAAACCTCTAGGTAATATGGTTCATTAAATTTTTTTATGTGAAAAATTAAATGGTGAATCTGATTCTGTATTAATGGTTATCAGGAATGTATCATGCCTCAAAATGATGCATTTTTTAAAAGTCTGCTTTATATTGGTTTAAAAGTAAAACATGCTTTTAACAGCCTAGGCTCTTGAGTTATACATTATATTAGAAATTTTATTTGCTAGTTTTGATCAGTTTAAATCCTTTCAGAAAATAATTTTCCAGCCAGTTGGAAGGCTCAGAAAATTGGGATTGATATGAAACAATTATACAATGTAGTATCCTGTGAAAAAGCTATTATAAAAGGCTTCTTAGAGACTATCAATCAAATTCTAAAGTGTAAAGGAAGGGAATCATTTGTCTTGCCAAGGCGTTCTGAGTACATAGACCAAAAGCATTGATCATGATAAAACACTTGCTTTAACGAAGGCTGTTTTCTTGTTACCTAGCTTTAGAGAAGTTCCCACATAACTAAGTGGTCAGTTTATATGTGTATATATAAGCAGACATAGAGATAAAGCTATATCTAAACAACATCATGTTCTATTGTGAGGATTAACCAGACTGTTAGAACTGCCCCAGAGGGTTTCCAAAGCTATAATCTTGTATGAAAGCAGACTACCTGTGTGTTGCAGAATAGCTAGTGAGTTTGAACCACTGACGTTTCGGTTACCAGCCAAGCACTTAACCACTGCACCACCAGGGATCCTGTAATTTAGGGATGTAAGAAAAGAGCATCCACTTTAAAAGAGCACGTCTGGAAGCCAAACACCTGATCTTGGAGCTAAAGCAGTTTCTAGTTTTTTTGGTGGTTTTTCCTATTTTTTTACAGGGCAAGTGGATGGGTGGGGCTAGAAGGGGAAGTGATCAGGAGGATCCAGCTAATAAAAGCACTTTGTCAATGCCAATACTTTCATATGCAACTTTAAAGTATATATTATGCCTAACAAATGACAAAATATACTGGTACTTTGACTCCTTTAGTAGCCTTATGCTATCATTAAATATTAAAAACTATTTATAAATATATATTAGACAGAATACCTCAGAGAAAGAGAATCCTTGGACTGAAATGGAAAAAATCAGAGTTTGTGTTCGAAAGCGACCTCTGGGCATGAGGGAGGTACGTCGTGGAGAAATTAATATTATTACTGTGGAAGACAAAGAGACTCTACTTGTGCATGAGAAGAAAGAAGCCGTTGATCTCACACAATATATTCTGCAGGTATGATGCTTCCTTTCTGTGCTTGGAACAATTATTATCAAGCATGTCGATCTTTATTCTTTTTGTTTGATTAGTTTCCAAATTCTAAAGTCCAGTTTCTAATTTGGTTGTTGGCATTTACTTTTATTGAGACATTATGTTAAATCGTTGATACTCTATGCCTTAAGTTATTGAAAAATATGGAACAATGAGTGATTCAAAGATGTAATTCCTCCACTCTTATGCAATGGCATTACAAAATCATTTAACAATATGTAATGTAAAAATTTTTAATTTAATTTAAAAATTGGAAAAAATCCCAACCACCCAATATGTAATAATACATACTCGGAAGTGTGGGGTGTAAGGATGACAATAGAACAGAGGGAATGAGGGGGCAAAAAGAATTAGTTCGTGGTGGGTAGGACCAGTCACTGAGCACATGCCAGAGAGGGTCATATGCCAGGCTTGGTTCTCATTGAAATTGTCTCATCTTGCTGAGTATGAGTGTAGAGTGTGCAGTAAGGCCCCATATTGATTGTTTATTCTGATTCTCAACTGTTTGGGAGTTAGCCTTAATTTGGTGGGCTTAGGCTCTAAGTAGGTTCTTCTGAACAGGCAGGGATATGATTTCACATGTTATATACAAGGGTTTAAGTAAAACACCAGTAGCTCAGACATGTAAAAAATGTTCACTCCCTGCCAGAGTGATCATAAAAAATCCAAGAAGAAAGGTTTTAGTAATGGGAGAAGGAATTTATTCCAGGTTCATAGGTGTACTGTGACTACCAATAATATAGATAGATGGATGGATGGATGGATGGATGGATGGAATAACAAGTCTCATAGATGGAAAACATAATTTAGGTATTTCTAAAATTGTGAAGCAATTGTGAGCAATCTTAAATGGGATAAGATTTGGGAATCTGCCTCCATAAACATTCATATACCAGAGTAAGTAAAGGTCCCAGTTCAGATTTATTCTAAACAAAATATGCTTAAGGATGTCTCTCTGATCTGTTGATGGCTGCAGACAAGTTAGAGAACTTCAGGGTGCCTTCAAAACAGAGGGGAATAATAAGATTTTAAGGTTGGGGAATACCAAATTTTTGACAGGATTCAAATGGACATCTTCCCAAATCATTGAAGGTTTGTAGCAAGTTTACGGGACTGCTGCCCACATAAAAGAACCATTTTTAGATGAATCGAGCATTTTAGGAGAGATCAGGAAGACATCGAGATTCAAGATAGAGAAGCCAGTGACTGCCTTAGAGACTCCAAAGGGGTCATCTTGACAGATTTTCTCAAAGACTCAGGATGATCACATGGATTTATATAAAGAAATTGAAAAGAAAAAGAGTTAAAACTGCATTGGTGAGAAAATAGCCAGGAAAATTGTGCTGAAGAACCCCACCACCACCACCACCACCATGACAATGTACCTTATTCTCTGAGGGGAACAAGTGCTGTCCTTTGAGAATTTCTTTGGGAAACCTTGCCCCATCAACCCTACATCCTTGGTCTTGCCCTTTCAAACTTTTCTGTTCCCCAAACTCAAAGAACATTTCAAAGAGGCACCATTTGGGTCCCTTGAGGTCACCAAAACCGCTGTTTTGATGTCCACCTTCAGAAGTATGTAGACCTATTTGAAAGACATGTCGATAAACAGCAGCTTCACATTTTAATATTTTTGTGTTATAAAGGCTTTATGGCAGTACTTTTTTACTTAGCCTCACTGTTATATTGTCTCTCTTCTCAGAAAACTCAATGACTGGTGAGGAGAAGCAGTGTGTGATACTAATTCACTTTAGTCACTTAGGTCTTATCCTGAAGACATAAATCGTGTAACACCCAAGTCAAATTGTTACTGCTGTCTCCTTTTCAAATTTGCAGTGTTCTTCTTTTTCTTTGATTACCAAAATTAGGTTTCAAACGAATCCACTGAATCTTCCTATGGACACTAAATTATTGGGCCAGTGTACAACTAGCCCAATCACTTTAACAGCCTATTGATTGCTTATCAGTGCACAATCTATTAAGTCTCAGTGGCAAGTATTTATTTTAAAGGTGTCTGAAAGACCAATTAGTTGAAAAGCTATCTAGTTCCATGGTTACTTAACGCCACAGTCGTACCCTGTCCAATCACCATCTACCTGCAGCTTCTTTAATGATGCTTCTGTCACCGTGGTTCCCTGGAGGAGGCATCCTCTTATCTTTTTTATTTTTCTATTATCTCCAAACACAATAACTTTACTTCTTTGTCACTACTATTGGTCAATGCTTATTGAATACCCATACTTTTCATAGCTCTTTTTCTGCTGTGTGAACTTTGGACCTTTGTGCTCATAGGTCAAAGTCTGTACCTGTCAATGCTATAATATAAAAGTGTTAGGAGGGCTCCCCCACCTGCCCTTTTTTCCTTCCTTGGAGAAAAAGTAGGGTCATAAATAAGTAGGGTGCTAGAAAATATTCATCCTAGCCTCTTTGGATTCTATTTTAAATTTATTCAGGGATTTAAAATAATCATTTGTATGTTTAAATAAGATTTCTTGTCCTTTCAAATCTACCTTTGTTACTCTGTAAATATATTCTTATCCACACAGTATCTTATCCTATATATAATTGAATTTTTTATTTTAATACATAATGAAGACATCAGCAATTTCAATGTTTTTGTTTGTTTTCACTTCATTGTTTTTATGTGTATAATTCAGTGACACAAATTAACAGTGGCTATCTCTGGATAGAAGAATTGACAAATAATTTACTTTTTTCTTCTAATTTTAATACTTAAAAATTTTCTACACTATGCTATGTTAATTGTATTTTAAAATTTTTAAATCATTTTATTGTATTTTAAATTTTTTAAACTTTGGAATAGGTAAGCTCACTGTCATCAAGTCAGTTTTGACTAGTAGTGACCCTCTAGGACAGAGCAGAACAGCCCTCTATGGTTCCCAAGGCTTTGGACATGATTATCTTTTTAACACTTGATTGTGAATTGTATGAAGACAAGGACTCTTCACAGAAGCAGACTGTCACCTCTTTCTCCCTTGGCAGTTGTGCCACCAAACAACAAAACCACGTCAATTCCCACTCATAGCAACCCTATAGGACAGGGCAGAACTGCCCATGTGGAATGCCGAGACTGTGACTCTTTATAGGGATAGAAAGCCCTGTTTTTCTTCCTCAGGATGGCTGTTGGTTTCGAACTGCTGACCCTGCAGCTAGCAGCTCAACTCATAACCATGATGCCACCAGGGCTCCTTACTGTGCCAGCAAGGCTCCTTGAGTAGGGGAGATTCACATATTTTAGAATCAAAAGATATAAAAGCATATGTAGTTAAAAGTCTCCCCATAAGTGACCTCCTCCCTGGGGGACAGACTACCGAAAAGTGGGTGAAGGGAGACGTCGGACAGGGCAAGATATGACAAAATACCAATTTATAAACTATCAAGGGCTCATGAGGGAGGGGGGAGCGGGGAGGGAGGGGAAAAATGAGGACCTAATGTCGGGGGTTTAAGTGGAGAGAAAATGTTTGAGAATGATGTACAAATGCGGTTTACACAATTGATGTGTGTATGGATTGCGATAACAGTTGTATGAGCCCCTAAAAAAAATATGTTATAAATAAATAAATAAAAGTCTCCCCACCCCTGTTTCCTCCTTGGAAACACGAGTATTACCTCTTCCAGGTATATCTTTCTAAATGTAGTCTCCAAATGCATATTACTTTTATAATCTGGAAAACAAACAAAAACCCTGCTTAAAAAATAAGCTATGAAACTTGGGTCATATCAAGGCTAAAATGAAGTTCAAAATAGGTGTTAAAATAACCCTTTTAATAATGTTCAATTAAATGATAGTGTGTGTGATATAAAGGGCTTTGAATTACATACAAATGTTAATTATAGTGATAATCTTACATGTTCACATTCCTTTCATGAAGGATATTTATAAAAGTATTAGAAAAACCAGTATCTCTATTCTTTTAGAAGGAACGATACTACTTCCCTTTATCAATAAGTGCTTTCTAAGGCATTTACTCAGAGCTGGAGCGACTTATACACACTTGTAGGAGGAGGTGAACTGACAGATACTCAGTGAAGTGATAGGAAATGAGACAAAGCGATCGAACCGATTCCCACATATACTTGAGCTCAGTTTTTAAAGCTTTTCCTGAGAAGTATCATAGATATAAATAATAACTATTATTTTTTGCTTTTGATGATATCCTATAAAACCTGTACTGCTGTTTGAGTACTGAGTGAATTTGCCCTGCGTAGAGACTAGTTATGAGTTAGATATAAATCATGTTCAGTAAGGCCAGATTTTATACACATATTTAGCACTTTATAAATATACTTAACTCTTGTTATTGATACTTTCAAATTTAATCAAAAGTATAGTTAACCCCATGAATACATCACCCAGCTTCCGCAGTTATTCGCATTTTACTCTTCTTAAAAATAATAACACATTTTTCAAAGTACCAGAAGTGATCAGTTTTTTTATCATCCTGAACAGATTTGTTATTTCCTATCTCCTAACTTTTGGAGATTTTTTTCCCTGACTGATGAATTCAGCTTCCTGACACCAATTTCTTTTCAGATGACCTCGCAGATTTCCATTCCAATATACTGTAATGGGACACAGAAATCAAACCTGGGAGAGGAACCCACAGGAAATTGGCCCAAGTCTGGTCTTTTCGGTCTGCCTACATAAATTTCCCCCAAGTGGATATTCAGAGCATGTCTCCACAGTGGCTGAGGACGGGGCCTCCTCTCTCATTGTCTAGGCACTCATCGCCATGCCACAAGCAGCTTGATTGGGATTTCTTATTCAGTGTACTGCCAACTTACAAAGCTTCTACTTTATTTTCCTAACCTAATACAAGGCCTTAAAAGAGTTCGTAGAAAAATGAAGTGAAAAGATAATGCAATTTTCCGCCACCTATTTGAAGCTCTTTTGTAATTAATGGCTCCTAAATTAATGCCTTCTAGACCTTTCTGCCGTTTTCCAGGTTACCATGGTTTTTCATTTGGGAATCATCTTGAACACTTCTCTACCACATCCAATCAATGGCCAAATTTCTCAAGTATCCACTCTCTAATTCCATTGTCATCACCTCATTTTGACCTTTCTAATTTCATCAGTGGATTACCAGTGGCCCTGTTCCCATCTATTGAGATGACTCTAACCATCCCTTTCCTTTGCAAAACCTTAGCAGTGCCTCCAATGTTTATTGAGTTAAATATGAATGCTTGCCCCCTCCTTTAAGTACAGCGTGTTTCAGGATCCCTACAACACAGTCCCAACTCATTATCCTATCCTTACCACAGCCATTGAGTCAATTTGGACCCATAGTAGCCTTATGTAGGGCTATTGAGACCGTAAATCCTTTTTGGGGCAGACAAACTCATATTTATCCTGAGGAGTGGCTGATGGGTTTGAACTGCCGACCTTGCTCTTAGCAGCCTAGTACCTAATCCACAGTGCCACCAGGACTCTTTTCTACCCACCAAGATCCTACATTGCAACCACATTAAATTCCCACTGGTTCCTAAATATTCCTTGTGCTTTCTTGCTTTGGTTCTTTGTTCATGTCTTTCCCCTGCCTGGAGTTCTTCTCTCCATCTGTTGCTCTCAAATTCCTCTCCACTCATGGTCCATTCTCAGTACTCGTGACTCAGTACAGTCTCTTTTTAATGTCTTTCTCAACCAAAGGGGATATATTTCTCCTTTGAACTCCACATGGACTTTATCTCTTAAGGTTCTGGGTTTTGTAGTCTTACTTAGATTAGATTAACACCTCCAGGTGAAGGGTGGAGTAATGGTAGAAATGTCTGATTCTCTGTGCCCCTTTGAATTCCCTCTTGCAGTCTCATGCTACCAGCAATAAAATGCTTATAGAATTAAAAGTTGTGGAGGGAGGGTGGGGTGGAAAGGGAGAACCAAGTACAGGGATTTACATATAACCTCCTCCCTGGGGGACGGACAACAGAAAAGTGGGTGAAGGGAGACGTCAGACAGTGTAAGATATGACAAAATAATTTATAAATTATCAAGGGTTCATGAGGGAGCGGGAAGTTGAGGGGGGAAAATGAGCTGGTGCCAGGGGCTTAAGTGGAGAGCAAATGTTTTGAGAATGATGGGGGAACGAATGTACAAATGTGCTTTACACAATTGATGTATGTATGGATTGTGAGAAGAGTTATATGAGCCCCCAATAAAATGATTTTTTTTAAAAAGAATGAAAAGTTAAGCTATATAATATATGGAATTGATATCTCTCTGTAAGCTTTGAAGATAAAAACCAAAATCAACTTCATTGCTACCAAGTGGATGCTGACTCATAGGGAGCCTATAAGGACAGAGTAGAACTGCCCTGTGAGTGTCCGAGACTAACTCTTTATGAGAGTAGAAAGCCCTGTGTTTCTCTCTTGGAGTGACTGGTGGTTTCGAACTGTTGACCTTGCAGTTAGCAGCCCAACTAGTAACCACTGCGTTACCAAGGCTCCTAGGCCTATGAAGAAAAGCCCTTCAAATGTGGTCCTTCTCTTCTGGACCTGAGGAGGTTCTCATCAGTTTACTTAAGAGGGAAGAAAAATTGTGTACACTTAGTTTTTACATTGTAAAAAATAGGTCCACAGAGATCTTGAATACCAGAACTAAAACTGGGGCAAATCCTAAGCCATAGTGACCCTATGAGACAGCAGAAGCGCGTTCGTGGGTTTCCAAAGCTGTGAATCTTTTTGAGAGCAGAAAGCCACATCTTTCTCCTTCAGAGCAGCTAGTGGGTTTGAACCACCAATCTTTTGGCTAGCATCCAAGCACTTAACCACCAGTGCTCCTGAATTAACACCTTGACATTCAGCAGTGATGGTTGGCTTATTTATTGCTGTTTGTCTTAGTTGGTTACCATTCGTTAAAAATGTATTCTTACCTTTATCATGTATTAACTAGGAAAGTGGTGAAGAAAATCCAGAAGATGTCTCTTTCTATAAAAATCAAATTTATTTTTCAGCATGTTTTTTATTTTGATGAAGTCTTTGGTGAGGCGTGCACCAATCGAGATGTATACATGAAGACTACTCACCCACTCATTCAGCATATTTTCAATGGGTACGACAGTAATTATTTGCTTCTCTTGCTTTTTGTTGTCTCTTTTCCATAAATCATAACTATCACTTAATTTTTAAAGTATTTTGAATTAAACATGGCCTTGTGTTTTGATCTAATGAATTTAAATTAGATTCTTCTGAAAAGTGAAATGTCTCTATTTCTAGGATTAACCAAGCATTCAGGAATTTGCAGCAAAATTTCCTCTAACACTAATGATGTTGGGTCTCTTGTTTAGTGGAAAAAAACATAAGCTGTCAACTATATAATTTCATCAGAGTCAGGTTGTTTGGCATATTCTGCCCATATATGCCTACATTTTAAATATGAGAAGCTTCAAAAACTTTGTGGGAAAAATTCCACTATCTTTTTGTCCCATTTTCCATGGACTTTTTGAAGTCCCCTTGTATCTAAGAGCTCTCTTATCTATTTCTGTTCCATTTAATGTTTGCTAAGTATGAATATTAATTTCAAAATATATTTATGAAAAGCTAGTACTTGATAATCACTTATTTATCCTACAACAACAACATCATCAACAAACATTAACTCTAGGCAGAATGTAAGCCCTGGTAGTTATGCCTTGGTCTGTGATCCGCAAGGATGGCAGTTTGAAACCACCACCCACTTCTCAGGAGAAAGACGGGCTTTCTACTCCTGTAAACAGAAACTCACGGGGCAGTTCTACCTTGTCCTACAGTGTCAGTATGAGTCAATATTGACTCAGTGGCAGTGAGTTTGATTTTTGAGTTTAGAGCTGGAATAGATGATTATTATCATAAAAATTTTAAATGCTGTGAATCTTTACAGACATTGACTGCCACATATTTCTCCTATGGAGTGCCTGGTGGGTTGAAATCACCCATGTTTGGTTAGCAGCCAAGCATTTAATCCAGTACTGCATCACTAGGGCATCTGTATGACTGTGCCCACGTTATTTATTCTTTCTCCTGTTTATGGACATCTGGGTTAGGCCCAGTTTGGGACTATTTTGAATGAAGGTGATTATGGATTGCATTGTTTCTTCCTAAATCCTAACTCCTATAACTGAGATTATAATCCCGTTTATAGATGGGTTTTCTTTGTTAACAAGGCAGGGTTAGTGTAGGGTTGTTTTAAGTCAATTTAAAACATACTGTGGCCAGCAGGGGAATCTTCCAACTCCCCATTTTTCACTCTGCATTTTTTCAACTCATATAGGGCATGTGGACACACATGTGCAGCACACACAAATAGTGATTCTCATTTAGAATCATAAGACATTAAGGCTGGAGGGATCTTAGAAATCAAGTAATCTCAGATCCATGAATTTACTGAGGGCCTGAGAGAAGCAAAGTGATGAGTAGTTTGTAGCTAGTAAAGCCATGTAGTTAGTTAATGGCAGGACTGAGACCAGAACCCAGGGTTCTGCCACCCAGATGTGATGTGCCTTCCCAGCTCTCCCACAGTGGCCATTGCTTTTGCTATTGCTACTACAGTGGAGACTTTCTGCCTTGTCAGCTTCTACCCACAGGACCCAGCCTAATGCCTTACTCTTTTGTGAGTCCTTCCTCTAAAACTTTGTTTACATTGATTTTTCCTTTGTCCAAACTTCCCTAATATTCATGAGTAGTAGCTACCATCCTGTTACTATGATTTCCTCTTATTTGTTGTATTTATTTAATTCTATATTCTTTCGCAAACCTTATCTTTCACTTATCACAAAATTTTCTCTAGAAACCGCTAAAGCACCTACCATGGGGAAGAAATTTGATAAATGCTTGTTGGCTAAGTGGCTTCTCAAGAGTCCTTGGTTTTTTGGTTTTGTCCCCCAGAGTTCTTTCTCTCATTTTTTTTCTCCAAGAGTTCTCTTATGGACTCACCAGTCTGTAAAAAATTTCTGTGCGAAAATGCCATGTATTGCTTTGAGAATGCTTTTCCTCTTTGTATGTGTTTATAACATGAAACCTTCTCTTTACAGGATTGTATGATTATAACTTCTGTCCACAGATTGTGTCTTTCTACCTGATTTTTACCATTAAAAATCTATGTGTAGATTAGCACTTCTCTAAATATGCACACGTGATTCAAATGATTCTTCCCCCAGAGGCAATGCCACTTGCTTTGCATATGGACAGACAGGTGCTGGAAAGACCTACACCATGATAGGAACTCATCGGAACCCAGGACTGTATGCTCTGGCAGCCAGAGATATCTTCAGGCAACTGGAAGTGTCCCAGCCACGAAGGCACCTGTTTGTGTGGATCAGTTTTTATGAAATCTACTGTGGACAGCTCTATGACCTCCTAAATCTAAGAAAAAGGTACTGGATAGAATGGCAGACCATAAATCTGTTTCCTGTTGTAGGCTGGAGCCTCACAAACCACTCACAAACCACTGAGTCATGGCATTTAATGAGAGGCCTTAGGACATTAAGGCCCTGTTGTGAAATTAGAGGCTTTGGCATCAGATGCATCTTATAAAAACAGTTACCTAATTTAGCTAGAGAAAAAGGTAAATTAGCCTTCTATTAGTATTTTTAAGTGATTAATTTTCTGCATCTATTGAAAAACTTCTTTTATTTTGGTCTGTTAAAAGGGGGGCATAATTTCAAGAAGTCAGGAAATCAACATGTAGTTAAATCCCTGCATAATCTTTTGATCTACTTATTACACTGGAAAAATCTCTGAATACTGTTACCCACTTTCTCTTCTTTTTCTTCTCAATAATCTTCATGTAAACTTAATAATGGTTTTCTGAAATCAGTTATGAAGAAAAGCTCATCTGTTTTCTTCACATTAGACTGTAGCCCTTTATAAAACTTAAAGTATTACCTTTACAACATGATATGGTAATATAGAAGTGTATCCAGTAACTCTGCTTTTCAATCTCTATTTAATTTTTCTGGCACCAAGTTTTGTTTAACTTGAAACAGATGACTTAAACAGAGAAAAAGAGAACATGATTGTGAAAGGATCACTGGCTAATTAAGAGAATGGGGAGGGGAGGGGCCTAGGGAAGGAAGGTGGAAGGATAAAAGGTGGTCATGACAGAATTAACAGACATGGCAGGAATAGCCATACTAAGCAGAAAGGAACTAGTTGAGGCTGAGCATGGTGAAACTAGCCACTCGGTAAAGATGTTCCACCCTCTCTGGAGCTCTCCAAAAGCATGTACAAGTTCCAGGTGCTCCAGAGAAGCACTGGAATGATGGGCAGACTTAGGGGCAGGGAGAGCTCTAAGGTTGAGTCGTAAAACTAAAGCCTGTGGAAAGTAGGTTTCAGTAGGCCATGGTGAACCTTTCCAGCAAGAGCAAGGCTGTGGGTTTGCCGCATCTCAGAGACTGTGCAGGTACTCGGGGCACAGTCCTGGTCCAACAACTGCCCACTAAGGGCAGGTGCTACTCTGGAACTGCTTTGGTGCAGAGCTGCCTACTTTTTCCTACCCGGGATGGTGTTGAGGCCCGACTTTACCTCACAGCTTCTCTTCCTATCCCCAACTCCCCCATTAGGGCCCCACTTAAAAAAATGTGTGTTCAATAATAATAGTGGGGTTTCCACGGAGGTGGACGGGTATGTAACTGCTGAATCACCTCTTAAACTGAAAGCCAGAATCTTCAAATTAACTTTGAAAAGTAGATGCTGTGTTTTATGTCCTTGCATAAAAACTGATGGTAATACACTCATCGCTAGCAGGATTGAAATTTTAGCAGTGCATCTTAGTCTGTCTGTTAGAAGGCTTCCTGTGGTGAGCTCAGAGTAGAGGGCTTGGGAAGTATGTTCCACAGTGACATGAGGGTTCTGAAAGCTAGACTTTTCTTATATTCTAGGGTCCTGGCTGTTCTAGTAGCATTGTTTTCTGAGAGTTTGTGTGCATTGTTGAGGCTGTTTCCTTCCAACCCTTTGGAATCATAGACTTAAAGTGAAGTACAGACTTGGGAAACAAAATAAAGGAAAGAGTTTTTTTCTTTGCCTATGGAGTGTTAACCTTAATCACTAGCTTATTAAGAGGGGTGGGGTGGCAATCCTAGCTTCATTGCCTACCAGCATATCTGACTTGATGATGGGGCCAATAGAGAGGAGCCCTTGTGGCACAGTTGTTAAGGGTTCAAACTCATCCCCTGCTCCATTGTCTTCCACAAAGATGTGCCGCATTGGAAACTTAATGGGGAAATTCTATACTGCCCTATAGAGTCACTGTGAGTCAGAATCAACCTGACTTCAGTGGGTTTTTGCTTTGGTAGACCATTACCATTCATTACTTTAAGGCATTCAGTTGTAGCACCAGCTCTTCCTTGCTCCCTATGTCAAGTTAAACAAACAAACAAATCTTACACTGGCTTAAGCTTAGACAACCACCAGGCTTTAGGCTCAGTTTACCCTAGCAATTCAGTGATGTTCAAGAACCTGCCCTTTGCCTCCCTCTGCTCTACCTCCTATGGAGTTAAGGTCATTCTTAAACTGGCTATCTTTATAGATGCAAAAGGCCTTCCCCTGAGGCCACATGCTTTCGCTACCAGAAAGATAGAGCCCTCTCTCCCAAAGAGTTGGTAGGATCCAGGATTTCATTTTGATTGGATCAGCAGAACCAATCGCTGGTCAGGAATACATCACTACTGATTGTTTGAGGTCTGGGTCATGTGCTCATTCTTTGCATTTAGCTAAATATGCTGATTACACATATGCTTACAAAGCAGATACTGTGCCCCTAGAACCAGGGGAATGGTGCAAGAGGTGGGGCGTGTGTGTCCATCCCACCCAAACAGTAAAACTAGTGCTTGATGCGGATGTGGTGGCATGGTTTCTGGGGAAGCAAAAATTACACCACGGTATCAAAGTGTTCTTGTATTTGTAGGCTCTTCGCAAGAGAAGATAGCAAGCACGTGGTACAGATCGTGGGACTGAGAGAGCTTCAGGTGGATAGTGTGGAGCTCCTGTTAGAGGTAACACTTTATTCTTTACTCCCCCGCTATAGCAGCTGAAGGAGCCCTGGTGGCATACTGGTTATGATTTGCAGTGATAGCTGCCAGGTCAGCAGTTCAAAACCACCCTTCTCTCCTCAGGAGAAAGACAGGCTTTCTGCTTCCATCGTACAGTCTCAGAAACTCTCAGGACCAGTTCTTTCCGGACCTGTAGGGTGGCTTTGAATTGGTAGTGACTCGATGGCAGTGAGATGGCAGCTGGAGTAGAGAGAGTTTGTTCTGCTAGCTTACGAAGTATGATGAACTCCCAGTTTAGGCTGAGGGCAATGACTAGCACATACCTGTTCTTTGTAAAATGGGGATCCACTTCTGAGATCATGGCTTGTTTCTCTTCATGGTTCATGTCTCAGGACCATGGGGTCAGACCTCCCGTACCTTCTGGGAGAACCAAGTGTATAAGGAGGTTCTCTTGGGCCAGTTTCATGTGTTCCTATGGCAATGGCTCTCGGAAAAAATTGGTTGGGAAAATTCTGCTTATTTTAAACAAACTTTTTTTTTTTAAACACTTATTGGTATTCCATTTACATATCATCCAATTCAATAGTTCAGTTATATCAAGAAGAGTTGTAAAATCATTATCACAATCCATTTTAGACCATCTTCCTTGCTCATTGTTAAACAAACATTTTTAATAGGTAATATTTTCACATGGGTTTAAAATTCAAAGGGCACGATGAGAAACACCCTATTCCTGAACCCGAGCCAGTTCCTTTATTTTGAGGCAAGGAATTCTATTTATTTATTTATTTATTTATGTGTGTGTGTGTACCATTCAAAGACTTTTAAAAATAGCTTATTAAAATGCATTCCTTTATTTTGGTAACAAGAGTAATACTATACATGCTCATAGTTAAAATTGAAATAGTACAGAATCATATAAAGAATATTAAAAGTAAAAGGCCCCCTTACTCCCCGCTGAACTGTCCACGGCTAGCAGTATAGATTGTGATTTTTTCCTGTTCCAGGCATTTATTAGCTTTTGTACAAAGAGCTTTCTGATGAACCTTCCTTGCATGCACTGGTACTCTACCCTGGATATACTTTAGATCCTGGGGAGCTTTTCCCTTCCTTTAAAAAAAAAGTGTTGCCTTCTTTATTGTGAAAAAATGGCACTATACCAAAAAGTGCATAAATCTATGCATGTATAATATAACCACTGAGATTTTTTTTTTTTTAAAGCCCAGAACTTTGCAGCATCTCGTAAGTCCCTTGTGTGACCCCATCATGCCCTCCGACTTTCAGGCTTGTCGCTTCCTTTTCTTCGTTATAGGTTTACCACCTGTAGAGTTGTGTTAAGCTGGGTTGACTAGAGGAACAAATTCATTGACACTCATGTGTAAAAGAAAGAGCTTTGGCCATCTAGCTCAAAAGCAACAAAGCTCACATGGAAGAAGCACACCAGCCTGTGTGACCACAAGGTGTCGAAGGGATCAGGTATCAGGCATCAAAGGACAAAAAATCATATCATTGTAAATGAGAGGGAGTGCAGAGTGGAGACCCAAAGCCCATCTGTAAGTAACAGGACATCCCCTGACAGAAGGATCACGGGTAGGAGACGAGCCAGTCAGGGTACAGTGTAGCAACAATGAAACATACAACTTTCCTCTAATTCTTAAGTGCTTCCTCCCCCCCACTATCATGATCCCATTTCTACCTTACAAATCTGGGTAGACCAGAGGATGTACACTGGTACAGATAGGAACTGGAAACACAGGGAATCCAGGACAGATGATCCCTTCAGGACCAGTGGTGAGATTGGCGATACCGGGAGGGTGGGGTGGACAGGGGGAACCAATTATAAGGATCTACATATAATATCCTCCCTGGGGAATGGACAACAGAAAATTGGGTGAAGGGACACATTGGACAGTTGAAGCCATGACAAAATAATAATAATTTATAAATTATAAAGGGTTCTTGAGGAAAGGAGGAGAGGGGAGGGAGGGGGGGAAATGAGGAGCTGATACCAAGGGTTTATTTTGAGAATGATGAGGGCAATGAATGTACAAATGTGATTGACACAATTGATGTATGGATTGTGATAAGAGTTGTATGAGCCCCCAATAAAATGATTTTTTTTAAAAAAGACAGCTTTATATATAAGAGCAATTGAGTGTTGTGAAAACATCCCAGCCCAGTCCAGATTAAGTCCTTAAATCTGATTTTAGCCCATATGTCCAATACACATCTATAAATTCCTCTTCAGACTCAATTTAACACATGCAATGACACTGAATGCAGGAAGATCACAGACCAGTGGGTGAAAGTCTTGTGGATCCAGTGGCAGTAGAAGCATCTCAGCGCTAGCAGGGGTCTCCATGTGGTTCCTCCAGCTCCAGGGCTGTAGCTTAGCACCATGTGTCTTCTCAACAGGAATGTCTGGCAGGGAATGTGTGTGTCCCACCTCCAGAAAGCTATTTATCTCCTAGCGCCTCCAAATGAGGTCACGCTGTGACCTGATCGACAGGCTAAACTTCCCTTCACTCTTATGTCTCAAATTGACAACAGATTATGTAACTACCACAAGAGTCAACTCTAAGCTGATTGTTTGCCTGTTTTTGAACAGACTAAGAATAGAATCAGACTCTGTGTGTGTCTGTTATGTCCTGCTTTCCTTGTTCAACATGAAGATTTTGATTTCTATTTATGTTTTTTACATATAAAGGTGCAGTTTTACACATTAAAATTTTGCTGTATAATATGCCATATATGAATTTAGCACAATTTATGTATTCATTCTGTTAATGGACATCTGAGGTTTTCATTTGGGACAAAGTTATGACCAGCTGTGACTGTTGCAACACACGATCTCAGTCCAAAAGCACTGAGTTCTGGAGGACAGATACCTAGCCGTGGAATTAGTGGGCCGGAGGGCATGTGTTCTTTAGCTTGATGACACAGCGCCAGCTGTTTTCCAGAGCAGTGGACAGGCCCATGAGCAGCATGTGAACAATCCCATGGCTTTTCATCTTCACCATCCCTTCCATTGGTAGACTTCTGGAGGTGTTTAATTATACCTCATTGTGGTTTTAATTTGCATTTTCCTGATTGAGATTGCAATGGACTATTTTTTTCATATTTTTCGATGATAGAGTGGATTTCCTCTTTTGGGAAGTGCTGTATTTCTCATTGACAATTTGGGAAAGCTGCTTTTCTTCATTTGGGCGTTGTCTTTTTCTTTATTGATTTGTAGGGAACCAGTATTCCAGCAGTGAGTATTGTGTCATGTACTTCTGTCGTGGCATGTCGCTCAGTCTGTGGCTTGTCTTTCCAGTCGTGTCATAATGTCCTTGGTTGTCTGCGGTCTCTTCAGACCAATTAAATCAGAGTCTCCCAGGGTGCAGCCCAGGCACGGTTTACTATTATTATCTTAAGTGGAGGTAGAGTTCATATACCATGATGCCCAGCGTTTTAAAGCATACAATCCAGTGATTTTTCTAAATATTTTCACAACGTGTGCAGCCCTCACCTGTCTGTCTAATTGAAAACATTTTATCACCCCAAGAAGAACCCATTTGTAGGTACTCTTTCTTTGCCCCTCCCCCGGCCCTGACAATTACTCATATGCGTTCCGTCTCCTGGATGTGCCTGTTCTGGACATGGCATCATGATGTCGTCCTGTGTGACGGCTGCTTTCTCTTTGCATGTTTTTGAGGTTTCATACATGTTGTAGCTGTAGCATCTAGCAGTACCTTCTTTTTTGTACTTGAATCCTACTCTATTGTCTGGCTATTCCACCCTTTGTTTATCCATTTATCGGTCAGTGGACATTTGGGTTGTGTCTACTTGTTTATTATGAATACTGTGTAAACACTTGCATACAAGTTTTTGTGTGGATGTATGTGTTCACTTCTCTTGGGAATGAACACAGAGTAGAATTGCTGGGTCATAGACATTTTAAGAAGTTGTTGTACTATTTTACATTCTCACAAGGAGTTGCTGGTAAAGCTCCCCAGGTGATTCTAATGGGTAGCCCTCATAGCACTCCACTGTGTCTCTCATCCAGCCCTCCTGGACAGAGAAAGGGAGAGCACGTTAAGGACGTCAGGCTAGGTATTTGACAGCCCTGCCTGTACAACAGTCTTACAACACATCTCTCAGGGAGCCTTTGGCCCAAACTCAAGGAACCACAGAGGACAACTGAATTTAGCATTGTAGAAATGCCTCAGGGGCCCAGAGTTAGTCTCTCTCCTCTCCCATTCCCCCACCCCAGCCACACTCCCAGGCCTCTACCCCCTTCTCACGGTGCTCTAATAGTAATCGCAACTGCTTATTGAGAGCTCCCTCCCCAGCAAACACCACACCAAGGGGCTTTTGCAAATGTCGTTCCATTTAATCATGTCAGAATCATGATGTGGTAACTTTTGTCAACATCATCCTGCACATGAGAAAACTAAAGCTAACACTAAGGGCCAGCAGGGGCCTTGTAGTGAAGGCTGGCAAAGCCAGAATGCCAGCCCAAACTGACTTCCTCTGAAACCCGCGAACACCTTTTGTGTTATACCACCTCATGTCTAGTATAGAGAGAATTTCTCTTAAAATAGTAAAAAATAGTGTTTTTATGTTACTGAAAGAATTTACTTTTATGACCATGTAGATTGCTTTGAAAGTTAAGTGTTTTAAGGCTATTTAAATGTCAAAAAGAGGAGTTTGTGGGACATTTTCTTGATACTTTTTCAAAACTAAGAGTTGGGACACGTGTGTGAAATGGCAAGGTGATTTACCATTGGTATGAGTCTTTGGCTTTCTGAAAGCTGCTTTCTCCTGGAACAAATAGATAAATAAATTTTCCTCATGGTTAGGCGATTCTCAGATTTCTTTAGTTCTGGGATTCGAAATGAAGTAGCCCTGAGTGTGGTTGTTTTAGATTGTCACCTGCAAGTGAAGGACCCCCCTTGTGGTGGACAGCAGACAGAAGTGTGGGACATGTTGAAGTGGCTCCTTTTGTGTGTGTGTATGTGTGTGTGTATGTGTGTGTGTGTCTCCCATTCTTACTGGCAGAGCTCCCGCTAATGTGGAATTCTGAGGATTGCTTCTGCACATCCCTATTCCTTATGGCCCTCGCATATTTCTGACCTTCATGAAGCGGTTGGTCCCAAGAGATTAGTCCAATTGATTGGGCAAAGGGCAACAATTAAGATAAATCCCTTCCCCTTCACTCTGGGCCCTAATGTGCTAATGGGCAGACTGGTGGCAGGCAACTTCTTTACCCTGGAAAAGTTTATGGAACTATCCACTCATAAACTATGTTTCCTAAGAAACACAGAAGAAAGAAAGTAAAAAAACATTTTAAAAGAGAAAGAAACACAAGTTTCTTGTTAGTCAACATGCAGGTCTTGGAGACACCATCTGTCTCTTCACCATTGGCACCCTGCCTACATCCAGTACATCTGATGTTGTGCAAGACGGAGACTAGCTGGGATCACGGTGGAAAGTGAGGATAAATTATGGATCTCAGACAAAGTTACCCTCGTACACATTGATTGGCTTGAAACAGAAGTACTTGCTAACTCAGGTGTCACCCTCTCACTGTCAGGTGTTACGGCTGATGCTCACTCAGTATCACCATGTGTTTGCTCAGGGTCACCTTCAGGTGTCACCCTCACAGATCATCCTCAGACACACTCAGTCATGAGTTAGCGGCATGTGCTTCTGGCACTAGCCTTCCTCCAGGAAGTGTCCCCCTGGCCCTGCTGTTCTGTTGCTTGGCTCTACCAGTGCAGCTCCAGGATGGCCTGCCTTTACAGAGACTGGTTCACTCACCACACTTGCCTGATTCGGAATCGGGATTCTTGTCTGTCATACAATCATTGGCCCTTTTTTCCTCAATAGTAGACTCTCAATATTCCACATTCTTTTCACTGTGCAGAATTAGGGCAACACATTTATGCATGGCTGATTTCAGAGGCTATCTTGAAGCCTCACACCCCCATCCCACCCATTCCTTTGTGGCCACAGGGATCCCAGTTAGTCTTTTCTCCCCTTCGTGGGGACTGGTCCCAAGGGAAATCATGGGCTCATACCATTCCCAGTAACTCACCACACATCACATCTAGCCTCCTTTATGACGGCCTCCTGCTGGAACAGGTAGGTGCGATCTGTCATTCCACAATGCACCTTTCTATCCTCTGCTTCAGTTACTAAGATAGATGGGTATTATGAGACCTCGTTTCGGAGCTGAGTTATGCTCTGGGGATTTTAGTCGGGCTAAATCCATCAAAGATATTAAAAAGAGCACAAGAGATCAAGAAGTAAATTAGCTTCTTAGCTATGCGGTATTCTCCCCCAAGATTGGTATTTATTCCACATTGTTTCACTTGCCACTGGGCCCGCTCTCTGTGTGATTTAGTGTTTGGGCAACTGGCACATGGTGGGGGAAAACTGACAAAGCTAGTATATGTCTGGGCGCCAACTCTTAGGAGCCACGGGGCTGTGCTTGTACCTTGAGGAAGTCACCCTCTAGATTTTATTTTCAGGTGATCTTGAAGGGCAGCAAGGAGCGGAGCACTGGGGCCACCGGAGTCAATGCAGATTCCTCCCGCTCCCATGCTATCATCCAAATTCAGATCAAGGATTCAGCCAAGAGGACGTTTGGCAGGTGAGCTCAAATGTGCATGGCACTGCATTGCCTTCCTTTGTCTAAGGTGACTTTGACATATGCGTTACCAACAACAGGACCCCCGGCCATGGAGCCTTTCATCGCAGGGGCACAGAGTAGAGTTGTTAGCCCTGAAATAAATCATCGCACTAAAGTGCCATCCGTTGATTAACCATGAAGTAATGACCTATTGTTGGCCAACCCTAAGTTATTAAAAGGGACATTGATTGCTTCTAACTTGAAGCACAGTATCAGCAAAGGAACAGCCGGAATCCATCTCTGAGAGCTTACAGACCAAAAAAAGGGAAAATTAATCCATCCCTCTTGAAAGAAGGCATAGGACAATTGGGTACATCCATTGCTTCTCTGGTGCGAACTTAGCAAACTCTCTGCCACTCTGATGGATGAGCCGATCTCACCTCTGAGTAATGAGCCTTTTTTTTTTTTTTAACCGGAAAGCAGCCCACAAAAGTGTTTCTGTTTAATTATCTAAGTAGTCACCTAAGTGTTTTGCATTGTGTCCATTTAGGCTCATGGAAAGAGTATTTTATTAATTTCAGGCATAGTTTCTCACAAATAGTTAAAATGAGCAGACATGCCATTTGAGTGACAGGTGCCAGCAGCAGCTGGCAAGGCAACATTTTGTAAAGCTGACAGTAATGTCTTTCCTGGGGATGGGCTCATCACAAAATGCTGCCTGAAGTAAAAATAAAGCAGAGACGTTAAGAAGACATCCCTGCTGTGTCTCTTTCTCTAGGATCTCTTTTATTGACCTGGCTGGCAGTGAAAGAGCAGCAGATGCTAGGGATGCAGACCGACAGACCAAGATGGAAGGTGCAGAAATAAACCAGAGTCTGCTGGCTGTAAGTGGTTCCAGAGCTTTAATCCAGCAATGTTTGCTGACTGCGTTTGCCCTCCTTTCCGTGAGCCGTATCTGGGAAGGTGGAGTGGAATCTGAAGAGCAGCAGACATGCTCTTATCAGGCAGGGGAATTCCAGGGGTAGAGACAGCTGCCCCATCAGACTCAGCAACTCTTCCCTCTTGGCCTGCCTCCTCTTTGGTCAATCCCTGCCAATTAGGAACAGAAGTATTTCTGCAGTTGCTGAACAGTTAGCTTGGGGAAATTAATCTCGCCTCTCTCCAAGTTCTGAAACTTTATCAATTTTCAAACATAGTAAAATAGAACAAACAGTATAATGATCTCCCCTGTACCTGTCACTAGGTTCAGGAACTAAGCTTATGATTTCTTTTTTTTTAACCTTTAAAAGTGTCTCACTAGGAATGTTCAGTCATAATACTTTGTTACAGTATCTCTTGAAATCATTCTCTCTTTGTGTTTAAAGCCTACCAAATTCATATTCAGTTTGGTTCACTTGCTTGATTTTGGTGGTTTTTAAGAATTTTTGCTTTCTTAATTTTGACTTGTGTGGTTGTTTAAATCACCTACATAGTTCTAAAGTTCTAAAGTTAAAATTATGAGGGGGAAAAAAACCACAATAGTGAAGTCTAGTCTCCACCCCTGTGCCCTCCACCCTGCTACCTAATTTACCTTGTTGCTGCTGTTATTCATTGCTGTTCAGTTGATTCTAACTCATGATGACCCATGGAGGGGAAAAAGGGTAACATAAACACTGTTCTGCACCTAGCAGTGCAGAGGAGAACTGATCTATAGGGCTTTCAAGGCCTGATCTCCAGGTCAGTCTTTTGAGGCACTTCTGGATGGGCTCAGACAGCCAACCTTCAGCTGGTAGACAAGCACATAACCATTTTTGCCTCTCTGGTTTTCTAGAGAAGCAAAACTGGTGATGCTTAAATAGGTATAAAAAGAGAGAAGTTTATATCAAGAAAAATGGCCCACATCATTGTAAAGTGGGTACGCCCAGTCTGGTTCAAGTCTGTTGGCTAGATGTGAAGCTGGAGGCTCTTGCAGAGCTCTGTAGCTGCCAGAGCTAACTGAATAGGCAGCAGGAACGTGAAGCGCTGGTGGATATCAGCAGGTCAGGCCTGGCAGAGTCAAAGGAATCTAAAGTCAGCAGTCTCTAATGGCTCCCAGAGTGGGCAGGCAATAGAGTAAGACATTGATAGCTCCCAGGGCTGGCAAACAATATGGTGGACCTGATGTGACAGATGTGGGATCTGGCCAGCAAGATGTGTGAAACTCTCCCCAGCACCTACTTAAATATCAAGGAGGCCACACCCCTATGGAGACATCGCTATGCCAGAGCCCATCATGGAGTTGCCAAACCCCTGATAGTCCTGGCTCAACCAAGTTGACACAAAGCCTGCCAAGTCACCCAGGGAATTCTTCCTCCTCTTAAACCACTGCCATTGAGCCAATTCCAATTAATCATTTTCTAATCCTGAATCCTAAATTTTCTAAGTTCATTTTATTTACTTATATTCACCTCTTTTCTCAGAGGAGGAAAAAGGTAACATACTATACAAACTATTCTGCACCTGGCTTCTTGTAGCTAAACAACATACTGGAGATCATGCTGTGGTCAGAGGGAGAGAGATCGTCCTCATCTCTTTGTATGAGCACATGGTGCTGCCTTTGACCCCTCCGCTTTGATTCTGTCTTCTTGATCAGAACTGAAGTCCTAACTAGGCACATTTTGTCAGGCCTCGTGGAAATGAGTGAGAGAATGAGAGGCAAAAAAGGGAGTCAGCACTTTTATTATTCTTATTATCATTATTACTGTTTTTAATTTAGATTTATTAAAAAATTTCCCCAAATAGTACAATTTTTATTTTCATTCCTAACAATTTTGATTTTCATTCCCAAAACTTAACATTCCCTAATATTAATATTTAACATAACATTGCACAGCGACATCAGTCAGGAAATTCACATTGGCATATACTGTTACTTAATCCTACAGACCCTATTTAAATTTCACCAGCAGTCCCCTTGATCACTTGGGTCCAAGTTCCACTTCTGATCTCATTTGCTGTGTCTCTGGAGTCTCCTCAGTTTTTGTCATTCGTGATCTTGGCATCATTGAAGAGTACTGGCCAGTTATTTTGCAGAAGGTTCTTGAATTTAGGTTTGTGTGATGTTCTCTCTTGATTAGATTGAGTTTGTGTGTTTTTAGCATTCTCTGCGTGTCCCACCAAGTGGTATAGGATGTCCTATTTTATCACTGGTGGTGATAATTTGATTTGATCACTCTGTTATGGTGGTATCTACCAGGCTTCTCCATTTAAAGTGATTTTTAAGTATCTTATGGGAAGATATTTTGAGGCTATAATTTTTTTTATTAAAAGTTTAAAAATTGGCACTTATTTGCAAATTTAAACAGAATAGATTATTGTAGTTAGTGTCCACCATTTCTTGGAGAATGCATTTAGGTTTGTTTGTTTTCAATCCTTTTATTGGAGCCCTTACAGATGCCATAACATTCCATAGTTCCATCACCGCAAGCCGTATTGTACAATTGCTACCACAACCAGTTTCAAAATGTTTTCTTTCTTCTTGAACTCCTTAATAATAGCTCCCCTTTATCCCCTCCCACCCCCACCCTATCCCCCAGGGACCCTTTTAGTTGCCATATCTTACACATCCAATATATCCATTCACATGCAATTCTATTGTTCAATCCCATTGAGTGGGGTTTTATAGTCATCTAGGCTATCAGCTCCCTATTTCTCCCTTCCCCCTCTCTTCCCCTCAAGGAACCAGTACTACTGTTACTGAAGGGTTATCTATCTTGGTTTTCATGTATCAAATGATCTTAAATACAAAAATATACAAATTTACTCAAATCTAAGATGATTAATGAGGTAAAACAAATAAAAACCATAGTAGTAAGGAGAGGAAATATTAAAGAACTAGAGGATGGTTATGTGTTTCATCAGTGCTATTCCACACTCTGGATTTATCATCCCTTCCTTGAGGCCCTTCTGAGAGGGACTACCAATTATCACACCAGGTGGGTTTGGGCCTCCACTACATCCACGCCCTTCACACAGATTTGGTTGCTTGATTTTGAACTGATACCTTTCCCTTCGACACCTCATGATCTCCCAGGCTGGTGTGCTTCTTCCATGTGGGCTTTGTTGCTTCCATGCCAGATGGCTGCTTGTTCAACTACAAGCCTTTAAGACCCCAGACGATGTATCTTTTAATAGCCGGGCACCATCAGCTTTCTTTACCATATTTGCTTATGCACCCATTTTGTCTTCAGTAATCTTGTCAGAAAGGTGAATATCATACAATGCCATATTAGAACAAACCATAATTGTACTTAAGTAAGATTTAAGTAGAGGCCCAAAGTCCATCTGCTTCCTTGTTGTATTTGCATATATGAGGGTGTACCCCCAAAAAAACATTTTTTTCAAAGCTATGTATTTAAATTTTTTTATAAAACAATCACATCACCTTCAAAGTACTCTCCATTACACTGAATACATTTGTCAAATCAGCGATTCCATTCTTGGAAACATTTTCAAACTCATCTTTTTGGATAGCTGACAGCACCTCCCTCATTTTGTCTTCATCTCTTTTACATCATCAAATTGCTGTCCTTTTATGACCTTCTTCATTGGAGGAAACAAAGAAGTTGCACAGACCAAGGTCAGTTGAATAAGGTGCACGGGGCAAGAGGGGCATGCTGTTTTTGCCAAAAACTGGTGCACTGAGATGGCTGCATGAGCAGGTGCATTGTTGTGGTGGCAAAAACCAGTCCACCATCTGCCACAAATGAGGCCTTTTTTGTCGCACACTGTTACACAATCCTTTCAGAACCTCTATATCAAAAGCTTGATTAACTGTCTGACTGGTGGAATGAAAAGCAAGTGCACTGCAAGTTGACATTTTTGTCCATTCAGGATGTTGGCAGACCTCCAGAATGAGGTTTGTCATCAATCGACATTTCACCTTTTTTGAAACAAGAAAACTACTGGTACACTTGAGTTTTTCCCATAGTGCTGTTCTTGTAGCTGTGTTCAACATCACAACAGTTTCTGTGGCATTTTTCCCGAGCAAGACACAAAATTTCACAGCCTTACTGTGTTCTCTTAAATCGGCCATTACAAAAACAAGGTTCAAGGTGAAACTACTCTTATGAAAAAATTCACTGTGACCAGAGAGAACCTTCCCAGGCTACGCCACTGGGTGCACTAACTCCGAAAAAGTTGCTGGGTGCTCACCTAGGAAGAAAAATGTGTACTATAAAAGCTCCGCCCAGCCGAGCTTTTTCCTGTTTTTTGGGGGGATACCCCCTTATATACACATACATAAACAAGTACACATATATGTTTACATGTGTATATAATTTTTTTCTTCTTTCCTCTTTTTCTGTTTTTTTCCTCCTGCCCCATGGTTACAAATTTTTATCATGTGTTTGCTCACTAATTTTAGTATTCATTAAAGATTCTTGCTTGAACTATTATTACATGGTGTTTGCCTCTTTGATTTTCTATTCCCTTCATTCCATCTACATTTATTCATTGGAACCGTGTTGTAAGGAAAAGCCTATCCTCCCAATTTTGTTTATTTATACTAGCAAATGACTATTATTTTTTGACTATATAACCCACTACTACCATTATTTTAAGGAGCCTTGGTAGGGTAGTGGTTCTTCACTGGGCTGCTAACCACAGTCTCCATCTCCCCCTCGGGAGGAAGAGGAGGCTTTCTGTTCCCATAAAGATGTACAGCCTCAGAAGCCCACAGGGAAGTTCTGCTCTGTCCGAAGGGACGCTATGCGTATCATTATTGTGTTGCCAGGCTTGTCGCAAATTTGCCCCTTGGCAGTCCTCCAAGTTGGCTCCTGCAACAGCGGGACAGCTGTGAGGGTGGCACAGGCTGTGCAGCGTGCCCTTCTGCTGTGCTAAGGTTCTAGGAGACAGGACTCACATGATAGCATCTGACAAAAATGACATTTTTTACCTCCTTGCTCTTTCACGCTACAAGATAGTCCAGGCTCATCTTGTACTTTTCCTGCCCCAGTCCTGCAACCAGCTTCAGAACCAACCGATTTTGAGCATTTACTATATAGGAATAAATTTCATCTTCACAACAGGTCTGTTAAGTAAACTAGGCAAACTTCCTTCTTATTGTATAGCTTTAGGACTCTATACAAAGATTAAGTGGATGGCCTTCTGACATCTAAAGTGTGGCCTAGGGATCAGCTCTGAGGCCTGGGAAGATGTGTGGAGTCGTACAAACCCTTTGGGGCTGTGTGTTTCTCAGATGGGCCATGGCGTGCACACGGGCCTGGAATACGGACTTCTAGAGTAGAATAAAGACCTTGTGTATTGCGAGGTGTAAAAGGTGTCCCTTGTTTCTTTGGTATTTTCCTGGGTTCTCTCTCAGTGTTTTATAAACTCTCTTGTCCATTTCATTCTGATTCAGCAGCGGTTGGTGGTCACCCCTGGGCTGGGCTGGACTGGAGCGTGTAAGGAGCCACATGGAGAGTGAGGCCCCAAGGGCAGGTGTAACTCAGGAGCAAACACTTGGCCACCTGTTATCCCCTCTAGTGCTGAAGTCTGAGGATATTGGATTGAGTTGTTAAAAAAATCAGGGGAAAATTCACTAGTATCTTTTTATACCCTTCAGTTTCTGGGTGCTTTATACTTTGTCTTCTAAAGGATGTGATGGGGGGCAGGTACCTTGAATTCAGCACCAGGCCTCTGTGGCTGCCACTAAGAATGGCCACAACAATCTCCCGAAGCTAATTACCTATTCGTGGTGGACTCTCAACTCTGACACCTCCGAATGTCCTCCCTTCTCCCCTTGTTTCCTTTTCATTGACTGACTTTTAGCTGACGCAGGAACAGGGGAAGGTGCCTGACACAGCCCACGCAAGAACAGGGGAGGGTCTCCCACCCTGACGCTGCCCTTCCTGCTGCTTGTGATGGGCATGCTGCCTCCGCAGGTGTTATAATGGGCTCTTCTGGCACCTCTGATGCCCAGTGAGCACTTGACGTTGAGGAGCCCTGCCCAGTAGAAAGTGACATCCCCTTTCGTTTTGAGCCACAGTCCCTAATTTCTACAATGAGAGGTAGTCCCAGGTGATTTCGCACATCCCTCCCAACTGACTTTCAACAATTACTCCTGCCCCGTTCAGTCCGTTTGTACCATACTCCACACATACTTTTTGTTCCCGCACCCGAGCCGTGCAGGTCTCTTGTTCATCTCTCCCTCACCATTGCAGTTTACAGCCAGAGCCCTAATCTAGGTAGTTTCCCAGTCTGGTGAACAGGAAGCAGCCAGGACATGCTGACTTTCTTCTGCAGAATTACCTGAGTGTAACTTAAAGAAAATAAGCTCCCGATGGACTTTGCTCTCTCTGCATGACATCTGATGTGTTTGTTCTTTTCTGCCCCTTGCAGCTGAAGGAGTGTATTCGAGCCCTGGATCAGGAACACACCCACACTCCCTTCAGGCAAAGCAAGTTAACTCAGGTACAGTAAAACAGGAGCGGTGAGTGTGTTGAAGTTCACTCATTTCTTCCCAGCGTGTACTTGTTCCTTTAGCAGAATGCTCGATGTAGTGAGGAAAAGGGAAAGGGAGGAAAAAGAGACCCCTGCAGGGCAGAGCAGGCATGGACATAGCTGCCTCTCTGGCTAAAGAAGGAGCTGCAGCCCTCTTCTGGCCTTTCTGATTATTTCCCGTGCATCCAAACCTTGGTGTTGTAGCTGCACTTGGGGCTTTCTTACTTCTAAGAGTTAGACCAGTGTTTCAGGACCAAAAAATATAATGACTTCAGTTAAGAAGAATATAATATTTCTATCTTTATCTACATTTGCTGACAGAAAAGATGGCTAAGATGTATTGTTATGTGAAAAGTAAGCTATAGAGCTATGTAATAAGAGATTGTCTTGGTGACTTTAAAACATTTGGCATAGTTGGTTATGCATTGGGCTGCTAACTGCAAGGTCAGTGGTTCAAACCCATCCTCTGCTCTGTGTGAGGAAGATGAGGCTGTCTACTCCTGTAAAGATGTAGTTTTAAAATCCCAGAAGGGCTATTGTACACTGTCCTGTAGCACTGTTATGAGTCAGAGTCGACTCAATGGCAGTGCTATATATAGCCACATAGAAAAAGTCCAGAGGATACAGAAGAAGCAATTAACATTGACTATATCTAAGTCCTGGTGGCCTAGTGGTTATCAATTGGACTGCTAACCTTAAGGTTAGCAGTTTGAAACCACCGGCAGCTCCACAGGAGTAAGATGAGGCTTTCTACTCCCACAAATTGTTGCATTCTTAGAAACCCACAGGGGCAGTTCTACCCTGCCCTAGAGAGTCACCATGAGTCAGAATTTACTTTTGGGTTTTATATCTAGAGAGTAGTAATGAAGATAAAGATGGAATGGAAACTAGTCAGAATGGGTGACTTCGGGCTAGAGTGGGTCTTCTCAAACATGATTTCAGTCAGGGACCCTCTTAGGTAGTGGGTCCTGGTTCTAACATTGGCTGTCCTGTTGTTGTTTTTATGGTTCTCCATCCTCAAAAAATATGTTCCAATTACAAATGTTTTTAAGTTA